CCCCAAAACCCCAAAACCCCAAAACCCCAAAACCCCATTCTAAGATCAGAAAATTGAAAAAAATCTATTGAAATTAATTGTACAAAATTTGAATAATTCATAAATACAGCTGGAAGAGACATTATGTTCGTTTAGGAGAATTTAGCCTAAATGGTCACTATGAACTGGCAATTAACTTTTCTAAATTTTATTAGGTTCAAATAAACTTTCTCATTATAGATTCATGATTAATTCTTGCTTAAAAGTGCCACAAAAAGTAACTAATCTTTTTTCTCAATGATGTTCTTTGTCAGGGTCTAAATGAATGAGTTTAGCACACTTACCTTGCGAACATAGATGAAATCGGAACTCTGGAAGTTTCTCTGAGTTGCAAGATCCAAATCGAAAGTGTACGTTGTAGGAGACAATTTAGTCCAGCGTTGCCATGTAACTGTGATATGAACAGGAACAAGATCTACAGATAGCGGAAAAGGCTTACCATGGTTAGTGTCTTCAGGAATTTCAGAGTAGACCTTTTTGATCGTGGTTGTAAATGGAGCATATTTCATTTGACGAGTACGAGGAGGATCCTCAATCTTGAAATCAATGTTTTGGATTAATGAATTTTCATTAATTTCCGAGTCTTTTAGACAAATGTATAGTCTAGCTTCTCTTTGAAAGATGCTTTTATCTGGGACATAGGGAGTGTGTAGAGTATAACCATAGTCAAAATGAATCTTAATGCTGTTCCTGATCTCTTTGAGCCTTCTAAGTTCTGCTAAATAGGCATCATGTGTTGTTTTTCTTGATTCAACCTTTTCAGGATACTTCTTTTCTACAATTTCTCATAACTTCTTAATCACAGGTGGGTTAAATCTCTCCATGACTAACTCAGTTCTTCATACAGGACATGACTTCTCCTCTGCCTGTTCAAGATGGGTGTAAATTCACTTGCTTCAGTATATATGCTTGCACTTTGTGCTGACTGGATAGATCAGGACTTCAGAGCAGATAGAGCAAATATGGGTTTGTGGGATTGATTCCATTTAAAATTATTAAGTAGTTTCAGGATTTTGTGCTTTATGTGGGGTTTTGGGGTTTTGGGGTTTTGGGGTTTTGGGG